GGAAGAGAAGAATATGAAAATGAAAGGACAGGTTAGTGCGAGAGTGCGAGAATGTAAGAAAGAGAGAACAAGAAATCGGGAGCATGTGAAACTAAGAGAATGGGAGAGCGTGTGAATCGATGAGAAGCCTGAGCGAATGAGAGGGTGCATTGATGCAAGGATGTAAGGAAGAGAAAGGAGTTAATGTGAGGAGGTGAGTATGCGAGACAAAGTGAATGAAAGATTGTGAGAATTGGAGAATATGACGTTTGGAGTGAGGAGAAGCGAGCCGATGGGAAAAGTGGATAAGGGAAGAGTGGGAGAATGTGGGAATGCAAGAATGGTAGAATGATAGAATGGGAAGAAGCAACGATATAAGGGGTTAGTTGGAAAATGTAAAAAGGAGGGAGTAAAAGAATGGGTGAAAGGAAGATTTGGCGATTCGAGGTTACGGAGAATGAGAAAGTTAAAGTGGAAGGTTGCGATATACTGAAAGAACATCACTTTGGCTGCAAGAAATTGAGACAGAGACAATTCGGTAGTCTGGTCCTGAAATTGTGGTGTGGCGAACGCTAGACTGTCTGTGAATGCATGTGTAGACATTTACGTTTCATTAGATGTGCAAAGCCGTAAAATGTGTGTTCTCGTAACGACGTCACGAAAAGCAAAGTTTGGGCATACAATTCAGCATAAATGTGGACTGGCAAGTGGGACGAAGAGCAAAAGCCGGACGGAAATGGGGCGGGGCGAGAGTGGCCATAGGAAGAGCTGTAGGCATGCATACAAGATGGTGATATGGGGAGAGGCGAGGAGGCTGTATTTAACCGATTTCGCTTGAGGTGATAAGAGAAATGGTAGTTTAATTTTCCCACAATCATATGAGTAGAGCTGACGTTTCCATTGAACGAAATAAAGTGAATATATCTCATATTACTGATTTACTGGTTGTCTCGAAGCTATACTTAAATAGGAAAAATATTAATTATTAATTCTTCTTTTTGTTAGTATCCTTTACTAATTCTGTTACAAATTTGTTTATTCATTCCGATCTATTCTTTGGCTAAAGTAGTTTTTACAATCGGAAAGTTAATCTTCCATGTATTTAACTAATCATTACCCGGAATTAAGTGAAACTTCAATGGTGGGTTCTAGTTAATTTCTAAAATCATAGCTTAATATAACTCCATAGCAAGACCTTGTGTTCAGCAATAAGGGTAAAATAGGTCGAAATATTGCCCAATCTTTTGCCAGCTATGTTGCCTATAAAGCCTATACTTAACCGCTTATGGGAATACCGGTCTACACCGACATTCCATCATCACTCTCTATTTATTGTGTTAATCTAATAACTCTACAAGGTTGTAAGTAATCCCTCTTGAAATCTTCCATATGTCAAAGATATTCTCGAAAACCTACTCGAAACGAAATAAAATATTTTTGTTTGCCGTCTGCAAATAAATCTTAAGGTTTTATGTATCATGCAAATTTCATTAAGCGATACTAATAATACTATGAAACAATATTAAACAATAATAATAATAAATAATCCTGTGGGACAGCTTTTTCATAATCTCAGGCAGACCATAAGCATTTGGTAGTCCAGCATCTCGTTGAAGAGGTGCTTCTATCTTCCATTTCTCCACTCTTCTATCATTTCCACTTTGTTTTAAGCAACCTTTAAGTCTAATCTTTGGCCTTTCTGTTGGCACCATAAGGGCACTAGTGTGTTTCATATGCGTTTAAGGCCTCACATCTTCTTCACAGTTTTCTCTACTTTTATCTTTGCTCAGCACTATTTAAAAATTTTGGTAAAGTTTTTTTCTTGGGTTTAACCTTTATATTATGCCATGACTATCAATCAGAGCAAAAAGTTGTGGTCAAATATCACGTTCAGCCTCCTCTGGGGACAAATCTGTTAAGTCTATAGGCTCTACCATTCTTCCTGGATAGGAGAGGTTAAATTTCAGAAAGTTAGATCTAACTATGTTGGGGACAGAGTAAATAAACTGTCTGATCTAACTTATCTTTCTCATTAGCTTCTTTAGATGTTACCTGTTTATTTCTCTTATTTAAATAAAATGGGATACTAGACCATAAAACTATACGTAGCCATATGATAATTCCCGAATGCGGAGTCCATTCACACCAAAACAAATCTTCTGAAGGAGTATTGGCACACTAAACTTGCTAAATTTAATATCTCTAATGACCTGACTACCTACACACATTATTATTATTACATAAATACCTGCATACATACACATATATATGTACATACATACAAACATATATATATATATATGAGCATGCGTAAACAGTTACTTAAAAGCATGCCTACATTGAAACATACAAGTATAAATACGTACACAATTCTAGTCACCCTAGTCCGCCTAAGGTGATGATGAAAAGTTTATTGAATTTTCCCACAATGATGTGAATAAGTTTTACCATACCATTGAGTTTTACTTAGCCTTGCCTCTCAAAAGATATTCTCAACCAGAGTGGTCTGGATGTTAGTTTCGACCCCGGCCAGGTCTCCTCTGAGACTCAAACGGCTCATACTTTTGACTAGGAATAAAATTTCATACAAATACACACAAACACACAGGTGCACACGGAGCTATTTGGAGGCATATACTCATTTTTTCTATAGTAAAGCAAACATACATTCATGTCTTCGAATTACCCTACAATAAAATATTATTGATATGAAGATAAACTTGGTTTCGATGAATCTCTTGAAATAACTTTGTTGGGGGACTTTCATTTGGTATGGATTCTTAGGTCGATCTCACCAGAAAAGGACGGCTGAATCCCATTGAACTGCATCCGTTTGGCTTTTATATGACGTTGCCGTGAAACTTTTATAAGAATGAGTTCCAGCTCTGATGATTTTTATCATATGATGAACGAAAGGTCAGTCCGTACTGCGTATACCCGAATGGGATTCTTGTGATGGGATCGACCTACGAATCATGCAGTTTCATACGAAATGAAAGTCCTCCCAACAAACTTTATTAAGCAGAAAGACACATGTGCGAAGGTGTGAAATGATGCATAGTTGGCATCATATTTGCGTAGACATTCCTGGCAATATGGCTATAAAGAAGCGGTCCATATGGTTAAAGGAGATATGTATGTAAATGTACCAAGACAATGGTGCCGACGATCGTTGTTTTTAGGCTGATTCTTCTGTCAAAGATTGATGCGGAGAATATCGTTTGCCCCTTTACTTTGGTCCTCATGCCCCTATTCATACTGTCCTTTTTTCACAATTTGCTGGCCCCGGCTCGGAGATTTGCTCAAGATTGCTAACAATGTATGTTGATCGTCAGTTGTGACTACTGTATTATTGTGGCAATTTTGAGGTATAAATCCGGTTGTTTCGCCGATTTTGTCAACTTTGCATGCACCAGAAGCGTTAGTCTCTTTAGCCCGGTTCTGGAAAGAGGATGTGGCAGCGCACGCCCGTACCTCTTCGGTGTGTGAAGAGGCATCGTGAGTAGACAAACTGGGGTCGGCAGAAGCGTCACTGGTAAGGATGAAATTTGAGAAAAAAGGCCAGTTATGATGATGATGATGATGCTAAGTTTATGAGACCCAGACGGGGTTAGACCCAAAAGTCAGCTGGCTTGAGAGCGGACTTTACACACTCCGTCATCAAGTTTATTTCTCTTTGAACTGATCTTATTTAAATATTTATGACTAAAATCATCACGGCAGTAGAGACCGCTCGACCAAATAAGAATATTCTATTACACAACAAGGATGGTTTCTGTGTGAACTCCACATACAGGACAAGAGGACACAACAAGAAAATATAATCAGTTCATTTCTGGCTATTAACACCTCCCTGCGGACAGAAACTTGTCGCTCAACCTTGCCCAATTATCGCCTAGAAAGAGTCACCGGAGTCAACATGTGTCGTCTGAAGCTGACATGTTTAGAGAGGCCTCCTCTTGGCCAATTTTGAGGAGGCATTATTTACCTCCGTCATAAGAAAAGAGGTAATCATGATCCGTGAGGTTTTTTGTATACATTTTAAATGTGAATTTCGCCTTGTTTGAAAGGCTGAGATGAAGAAATCTGTAGATTAGTCTTGCCAGAAAGTGACGCCCGATTCTACTTGATCCTGTGTTATCTAATTTTACCATCACTTCTAGACTGACGCCGTAGCCAAGTTGACTGGCAGTCAACTAAAGCAAGTCAGATCAAGTACCACTTCAAGAAAACCTAACGGTTTATCTCTTTATGGTAGATCACGCCAATAAAATGAATTTATAAAAGGTAAAAAATGGCGTGCTTAAGCAAATTCTCTTTTGCGTTTGCATATGAAGCCTTCATAGGTGGCTCCGAATAAGTAAAGTTTGGTATAACATCTGCCTAATTTAATCAAGATTAGATGATATTTTTTAGGCATATGAAAATGAATAAAAAAAGATTACACAATACAGAACGTCCATCTGGTCGAGATAATGACCATTCTGTGTGAAAATTATTAGACCCATTACCAAATGGCCTGTACGCGGCATCTCCCTTTCCATTTCTAAACGCATTTGTAAAGCAATAATAATGTAAATAAATTAATGAAGTAAGAGAATAAATTAAAAAAATAATATCTATTAAGGAGTTGTTTGACCTTGCTTTCGCACCTTGGTCATATCGGCAGGAAGACCTTAAGGAACGCACCTAGTCCGGAGTCCATAGTATGCACGATCCTTTGAAGACTTGGTACATCCCCAGACACAATCTTCGCACAATTCAACAGACAACAGTCCAAGGCAACCCTACTTCGGTATCCGATGCGACAAAGCTACTAATACCTTGTACCC